CGGAAACTACACCAACATAAACGTGGCCCAACTTTGTGTGAGCGACATATATTTTGTGTTCTTGTCTGTTTGTGTTGTTTGGCGGTCGGATATAAGCTGATCAAACTTTAGGCGTCGACAGAACTAATGCAAGTTTGCTCATTCTATATGTTGAAAGCAAAAATTTATTAAGCTTCTGGGTTTTTGATAAAATTATTCATTATGATGAAGGTCATGCTTTCGAAGCCCGAATATATGCTGAAAATGTACCGAAAGGATTCCTTCCAGCAACTGGAGTCCTTCATCACTATCATCATGTTCCAGTCTCACCAACAGGTATGTCTCAGTACAAAACTTATATGATTCATCGATATTAAAGTAAAAAATCCATCCCCAAACACTCAAGTTGGCATAATAGATTGTTTGAGCACCAGTTGCTATGGGATATCACAGCTAAACAAGTCCTTGAGTATTATCATCTCCTGTCCTTTGGTTATTTGTATTTGTTTCTTACGTTGAGTCTGTCCATGAGCAGTTAGAGTTGAGACTGGAGTTGAACGTGGAGACACTGTTAGCATGCATTATGATCCTATGATTGCTAAGCTTGTAGTATGGGGAGAAAATCGAACTGCAGCATTGGTGAAATTGAAGGATTGTTTGTCAAAGTTTCAGGTACAACCAATTCCCGAGTTGCATCCTCTGCACATTAAAGTACATTTTGCAATCATTCAATGTCATGCTATCTTTTTTAGATGAATTAGATATCTGATGCCCATGAATCAGCAAAGTTTAAAACGTTAAATGGCTCCGTAGACAATACGTGGCATGTGGAAGGCATATTGCAAATTCATATCGATCCTGTAGTTTCAGTTTATTATGGATCCTTGTGTTTTAATGCTAATTTTCATATACAGGTTGCAGGTTTACCAACCAACATCAATTTTCTGCTAAAACTTGCTAGCCATCAGGCATTTGAAAATGGTGATGTGGAAACCCATTTTATTGAACGCTTTAAAGATGACCTCTTTGTCGACCCTAGTAATTCACTACTGGTGGACAAAGTGGCTGGTGCTGCTAGATTTGGTGCTACACTTGCAGCTGCGTGTCTCATTGAAAAGGAAAATTCTGAATTTAGAGAAAATCTTCCTGGTAAATTGGAAGTCTTTAATCTTCAAACATATTCAGTTCTTAAACCGCTATAACATTTATTTCTCCTTATCTGTTCAGGCAGCAAAGGCATAAACTCCATATGGTATTCTTCTCCCCCCTTCAGAGTCCATCATTGTGCTAGACATACTATGGAGCTTGAGTGGGAAAATGAATACGATAGCAGTGGCTCAAAGTTACTGAAGATTTCAACCACTTATAAAGAAGATGGGAGCTATCTGATTGAGGTAGTCTTACGCTAATTGGCCATATTTGCAACTTCCCCTATAGTATCTTATGTGCAAGTTGTTTCTTGTCTGTGTTCCATAAAGTCATTCCCTCAGCAAGTTTCTAAACATCTGTGCAGGCAGAAGAAGACAGTTCCCAATGTGTGGAGGTCAAAGTAACTTGCATAGGCAACCACGATTTCCGAGTTGAAGCTGATGGTGTAATCATGGATGTTTGCTTAGCTGTTTACTCCAAGGTAATGCCGTTCTCTGCATGCACCTTCACAGAGAATTACACTTTTTTTTATTTCTGTTCATTTGGAGTTCTATCATCATTAATTCGTTGAATACAATTTGTGCTTGCAGGACCAAACCCAGCTCATTCATATATGGCATGGGTCACATCATCATCATTTCAAGCAGAAAATTGGTCTTGAATTGTCTGATGATGATGATCTCGAACATAAGCCCAGATTTGAGAAATCGTCATACCCTCAGGGCAGTGTTGTTGCGCCCATGGCTGGGTTGGTGGTCAAGCTTCTGGTCAAGGATGGGACAAAGGTGGAAGGAGGACAGCCCATACTAGTTTTAGAGGCAATGAAGATGGAGGTTTGTACTGCTGCTACTGTTGCATAGTGCATCTACACTTTATTTCCATGTGCAATATTCAAAATCAATTCTAATCTTTTTTTCTTTCCGTTTTTACATTTTGAAGCATGTTGTAAAGGCACCATCAGCGGGCTATGTCCACGGGCTTCATCTAGCAGCTGGCCAGCAGGTTTCTGATGGTAGTGTTCTCTTCAGTATCAAGGTTAGCCATTTGCTTTCTACTACCATCTGTATGAGTTATTGAAGCTTTACTGAAACAGAATTACATGCACAAGCGTAAAAGCTGGTAGCACAGAATCATTAGAACGCGGTTGCATGTGTTGTTTGGCATTTGTCCTGAAACAGTACATGACAATCGTTTCTTTTATCCCCTTTTCGTTGAGGACGGCTTAATGCTTTGAAGTGCGAGGCACTTCTGGACAAAATACATCTCCGGTCCTTGTTTAGAGACTTCTAAGAGTTGACCTTCATTTAACTGTTCTCTATGCATGAGTTTTTGGCCTACGATTTAATGTGGTTATCATAACTTGCACACTTCCATGTTTGGGCTCTAAATTTTGAATGAATAATATGCATATGTGCAGGAGTAACAATACATCATCAAGTCTATCGTTTCTGAATAGTTTCGGCAAGAGCCGTGACCACGCTCCAAAGTTGTGCTCGAGTAGAGTGAGTTATCGAAACTTTGACACGATCTCAGTTGTAAGAAACTAATTCATAGCCTTGTTTGTATATAGTCATTCATATAATAAAATCTTACAAAAGAAACCTCATGTCAACAACAACAATAACAAAGCCTTACCCCACTAAGTGAGTCGGCTGTACAAAGCCTTATCTCACTAAGTTGGTCAGCTATATGAATTCTAGAACGTCATTGCGTCCGGTTATATTTTGTTTCATTTTCCAGCTAATATCTCTACAGCTCTAGATCACTCTATGCCCTTGTTTATATTGCATAAGATTCATCAGCCGAATTTCCAAAAATGCAATCCATTCCTGCATCAGAATGTCTCAAATTACAGCTAGCTTGTGCTTTTGGTCAACAAATTGTAGCTAGTAACAGTCTACCATCACTTTAGGCTGAAAGAGAAAATTGTTGGTAAATACTCTAATTTACGGGCTGAGAATTTGAACTCGGGTGCCATGGGGTTGGGTACACTGTTCTAACTAACTGGCCTTAGTCACAATCGATGAACTGTTTCGACCTTACCTAGGGGTTGATCGAGAAAGGACACCAATTGTTTTTATGATCCCTTGGCTAATTGAGTTAATGACAGCTTAATTTGGGCATCTATTCATTTGTTTTTTCTTCACAAGGAAGTAATCTCTAGCATCGTACAATTCTTCAAGTTGGAGAGATATGCCCTGTTTGGGTCCCAAGTGAGTTAAGAGAATTAACCAAGGGATCATTCTGCTAAGAAAAACCCTAGAGACCTCTCGACAAATGCTCGAATCTAGTGGCCGAAAATTTAGCTAAACGTCTCTTCACACGTTCAAATTTTGGCTACTTTCTAAATCCTTGCAAATGTCAAAGAACCATTTTGGAAAATGACATGAAAAGTGCCTAGACATTTATTTATTCTTCTTCTAGTGCCAAACCTTCTTCTTTTTGTTAGTCAGCTTGATGGGTTGTTGTAGGGGACAAAGGGGGATGCCATTCAATTTCTTCAAAAATTAGGGGAATAGGGGGAAAAGGCAATAAGATAGTTTGTCAATGCTTGGTTTTATTTTTATCCATCCCTTCCTAGTTTGGGGTGATTGTGTTTTTTTTCTTCTTCAAAACAGTTTCTGATGTGCTATGAGAATAAACAGCTGAAAAAAAGGTAAATGTTTGGTAAACTATAGTGCTAAAAGTGCTTTTAGCAAAAAAATAGCGTCTAATGAAAAAACGCTTTTTGAGAAGTATGGTTAGAGCTGATTTTGTTTTCTGTTGTTTTAGACATATGATTTGAAAAAATATATGAAAAAAAACAGTTTTTTTTTTCTTTTACCAAGCACAAGTTAGCTCAACTTTTTTAAGAAATTGCTTTTAAAAAACATTTAATCAACCACAAACCAGCCCTAAAGTAACCCAAATCAAGTCACTAGCAATACCATCCAGCATTATTATTTTTCATTTATAAGTGGAGAGATTTGTATGGAATGGGTTTGTCGTCATCGCGTCCGGAGCCATGAATACAAGTTCATGTATAATAAGGTGCTCCCTACCTAGCCTTGTACTAGTAGCCTTAGAAGTCATAATGAATCTGTTCAACTTGCAAGTGATAGGTATCACATTCAACTTTAATAGTTTGACATGTTTGATATCTAATTATGACGGGTCTCATTATATAGCTCTCTCAACATCGTTACAAAATCAAAATTAAAAATTGATGAAAGTGTATGAAAAAGGTACGTTGTCCGGCGAATATACCTACCGAACTTTAGGTTCCAACGAACGAACTAGACATTAGAATATTTGTGGCGTCGGTGACTTCAAAAATTCAACCAGTTTTATTATTATTTTTTTCTTTTATTTCCATTTTTGGACCACACAGTCGACATCAAACAAAAATATTCTTTGTTTTCGTTTTTCTCAGCTGTCAAAATTAAATGATGCAATCCCAATCAATTAAGAAAAATTAAAAAAAAAAAGAATTTGTAAAATAAATTAGAAAAAGAAAATTATTCGATGAAGTTAAGATTAGGCGGCTCTAATCATATACGATTTAGGATCAAACAAACCGTATTTTTGTTGATTTTATCGAGGAGTCATATATTTGGACGGACAATCTCTAAATAAGAGAAATTTCAATATGTCAAGAACACAGAATACTAATTACTAATTGTATTATTATATTATTTTATCAAACCGTGTCCTCAGTGAACTAAAATTTTTTATCTCAAGAAGGAGGATTAAATCATAAAATACCGGTAAGTCAGTTTAAAAAGAAGGTAAATAAACTCCGTAATCAAGCTGGGATTTTTTACCTGACCCATAAATTTACTGCTCTAACCGGCGCGTAAATTTTCCATATATTATTGTCTTCGTTTGATGTTTCTCTTTCCGAATTCCGATTCTATCCACTCCTCTTTCTTTTGGCTTTCTCGCTATCGTTTGGTACCCAGAACTCTATTTTTCTCTGCTTTTTTTCTTCTTTTTTCCCATCCGATTTTTTTCTCGATTTGATGTGATTTTTCATCTCCAAGATTTCTGGGCCCGTTTATATTGTTCCAGTTCCTTTGTCAAAGTTTCAATCGAGTTCTCGGGGGGTTTAAGGAAGTTTTTACGTTGTGAAGTTTTGAGATTTGGCGTCTGTTCGTGTTAAAGTTTTGAACTTGATCAGCACAAAGAAATTTTTGGTTGGTTTTGATTCATGGGTTGTGTCGAAATCGCATGTTCGTTATTGGGTTTCTTTGTTTTGGGTTTTTGAAGTTCGATTTTTGAGTAAAAGTTGGGGAAGTCGGTGAAAAATGGAAGTTGAGGGTATTCAGAGGTCGAGAAGTTTGGGTTCCAAGGGGAAGGATGTGGGAGGAGGGGTTGATAAAGAGGTGTTTTTTCGTGCCGATAAGATCGATTTCAAGAGCTGGGATATCCAGTTGGAGAAGCACTTGAGTAGGGGTTGGGAGAGGGAGAGGGAGGCGAATGCAAAGATGGAAGAGTGGGAGATTGATTTGGGTAAGTTGGATATAAGACATGTTATTGCTCATGGAACCTATGGCACTGTGTACCGCGGCGCCTATGATGGCCAAGATGTTGCAGGTACTTTGATTTCGTTTCAATTCAATTTCGATTCTTTTTCTTTGTTGCAATTTTGATGATGTGTAGGATTTGTTTGAATACCCAAGTTTTCCATGTTTGAGACTTTAAAACATAGTTTAGTGGTCAATGACTTTCACCAGAAGTGAAATGGAATTGAGAAATTTGACATTTTGTTGAGTTAGTAGACGGTAAGCCATCATCTGTATTTGTTTTGGTTTAGTATTAAGGGCTTGTTTGGGATTGCTGTAGAAAACCATTCTGCTCATAAGCACTTATGCTAAAAGTGCTATAGCGATCCCAAACAGGCCATAGGTATTGACAGGAGGTGCTAGCGATTGCGTATTAGATGGTTAATGAATCTATTAAGAATGGTTTTAGTGTGCTGGAGTCAATCACTTTCATCATTATTAGACTCGGGGGGTTTACTTCATTGGAGAAAAAGAATACATGTGACTGTTTGCCTAGGTATATATACAAATTTACAAATACATAAATTATTTTATTGAATGTAAGAAAGCAGTGTTATTTGATTGAATAATGAACCCCTAACCGTAGGTTATCCTGTATTTTTCTTGTCAATATTGTTCTCATGGCTTGATGTATTCTTGATATTATAGTGAAGATATTGGATTGGGGGGAGGATTGTATTGCCACAGCAGCTGAAACTGCTGCTCTTCGGGCGTCGTTTCAGCAAGAGGTTGCTGTATGGCATAAGCTTGACCACCCAAATATCCCCAAGGTAAAGTTAATATATATTGGTTCTTCATCTCAGTATGCATAAAGTCACAATAGCTTCAGATGAAAACTTTGATACCGTTTGCTGCCCTAACAATTTTTTGGTTTTCAGAATATTATCAAATTGTCAATTTCCAGGTTTACGTTTTAGAGATTTATCTACTTAAACTACAACCATTATATTTGTGACAGTTTGTCGGAGCTTCAATGGGAACTTCCAACCTTAAAATCCCCGTTAAAAACGCATCAAACGATAGCCATAATTCTCCTCCTTCAAGAGCTTGTTGCGTTGTTGTTGAGTATGTTCCTGGTGGGACGCTGAAGAACTTTTTGATCAGGAATAGAAGAAAGAAACTTGCCTTCAAGGTTGTGATTCAACTTGCTTTGGATCTCTCCAAAGGGTGAGTTGGGTTCTTTTTTTTTTTTTTTTTTTTTTTTGTGCTTGATTTATTTCTGTTTTTTTGTTTGGGTTTTAAACTAATGGATTTGGTTCTCGGTGTTTCGTTCTCTCAGTTTGAGTTATCTTCACACGAAGAAAATTGTACACCGTGATGTCAAAACGGAAAATATGTTGCTTGATACTCATAGAACATTGAAAATTGCTGATTTTGGTGTTGCTCGAGTGGAAGCTCAGAACCCAAGGGACATGACTGGGGAGACTGGTACCCTTGGGTACATGGCCCCAGAGGTACCTACATCTTTTCATTAATCATTGCCAAATCTAGTTGTAAACGAATTTGACTCGAGTGACATTCTTTTATTTATAGACTCCCCTCCCTGCAAATTGGATTAGAATTCTAACATCAAGGTTTTTGTAGGTCCTTGATGGCAAGCCATACAACAGGAAATGTGATGTCTATAGTTTTGGTATTTGCTTATGGGAAATCTATTGTTGCGACATGCCTTATCCTAATTTAAGTTTTGCTGATGTCTCATCTGCAGTAGTGCGACAGGTTGGTTTGTCGTTGCACATAATGCTTTAATTGTTTTATGAGATTTTAACTGAATGTAGCAAAACTTGTTCTTCTTTGGCTTTGAAGTTATGTTGTTCACCAAATGTTAGTCCTAATACTTTATGCTTGGATGGCAGAATTTACGACCAGAAATCCCAAGATGTTGTCCGAGCACATTGGCTAGTGTCATGCGAAAATGCTGGGATGCAAGCCCGGATAAACGCCCTGAAATGGAAGAGGTTGTGAAACTGTTGTACGCAATAGATACGAGCAAGGGAGGCGGCATGATACCTGAAGACCAGTCAACCGGCTGTTTCTGTTTCGGCACACCTCGCGGTCCATGACCTTCTTTGTTTCGTGTAATATAGCTTTACAGATTGTGCATTGCATATTAAAACCAGTTTACCAGTTCAGCGCTAGACTGCAGGCAGCTGCAGTCAGTCTTTGAATAATCACTTCTCATCTCTGAATAATGCACAAACAGCGTTTTTGAAAAGCCATATTGTTGTTTGTGGTTCCTTCTTCATTCTTATTGTAAATTAGTATGGAAATCAAGCTTTTACAGCAATGTCTGGTAGTTTTATTCTGATACTTTTACTGTCATGGTTTGGTAATATCTTGATGGGGCAGTTATACTCTAAACAGGACATTCGTTCTTCATTAAATAACAGATTGTCGATATGATATAGATCAGATGTCGATAACATTGGCCGCTAACATGTCAATAGGATTATGTATCAATGTGTTATCGTACAAAAATTGACATTAACACTGTAAAATCCGTTCAATTAAGAAAGGATAGGCGTCCTGCAAAGAGAAAACGAAGAATCGATGGGCAATTCTTTCTTGTTTGAAATTAAGAAAAGAAAGAATACTACTAGAAACCCAAAATCAAACTGGTTTCCACTTTTTTGGTGTGCAATGCATATTTACCTAATGTTCCACTAGAAATCTCAAAGGACAGTTCCACTTGATACGTGTGGGGCTTTAGGGATCTTGGATATGGAAATTTGGTGGATATCCTTCTGCTATTTGTGGACTTTTAATCACCCCCTTACCATATCCACATGAAGCACACATGCAATTGGCATGAAAATCAACCAACAATAAATAATGCACATAATAAGGTACCCCTTTCACATTTGGTAGGGACATTCTTTCAAATTGAACACTAGTATCAACTTACTAACTACTATTACAGTTTAGTGACTCTTCGCTTGCAATCGAAAGGTCGGTTTGACTAATGTAGACATTGAAGATGTATCATTTTTGTAAGTTTTGATTCCCTTAGAGTTCGTTACCTAATGTGTGATTGGTCTATTGTGCGGTCTGACCCTATCTCCCCTCCTCTTATATTAGACTTTTCCCATTTCCTCCTTAGAGGAGAGACATGATTTGTTAAAGCCTAAAATACACTATGAAATCCGTCAAAATTCTTCATTTTTTAAAATCCTTTATATCAAACCATGATTGAATACAAGAAACTTTTACACTCTTTTAAAATCATGATTCAATACACTCAAATTCTATGGACTTTTATAAACTCCATTAAATCTTAATTAAATACCTTAAAACTTTCATGATTTCATTTAAAATTCTGGTTGAATGTTCTTGATCGTTTAAACTCTTTTAATTATTTTAAAATTTTAGTTGAATACACCACTTACCTCTCCATCAAAATTCTTTTCCACAATTGAGGAAAACATTTTACTCCACAGTCTTTGGTCTAGTTTATAAATATACTTAGATATTGGGCCTGGGATAAAAAGAAAGAGCCGACATATAATGAGTCAATTATATTTATGAGTGACACATACCAACTAAGAGAGCCGAATTCGAATCCTCTCATTTACAAGTGAGAAAAAATACCACTAAACAAGAGTTTCATTACCATAAAACCTAATTCGCAAAGCCAACGTTACCCGTGGACATTTTGTTATTGTACGAAACTTGAGGGGTCGAAATGCTAATTTCAAAAAGTAAATTCTTATTTCTTGAGCAACCAAAAAGCTATAAAGAGCAAAAACAGAGGAGGGAGCCAGGTGTTGGCGGTTTAGTTAGTTTTTCCGGTTTCCTCACAACTACAAATACAAAATTGACCCCACACATTCAGAGAGCGGTGGTTCTGTTGACGACGGGATGGGCAGCAGCAGCAGCGCTAAAACGCCGTCGTTAATGAGGGACTTTCTCAGGCAGGCGGGCGGCATCGCGGTGGTCGACGGTGGACTTGCCACCGAGCTCGAACGCCACGGTGCTGACCTCAACGATCCTCTCTGGAGCGCCAAATGCCTTCTCACTTCCCCTCACCTCATTCGCACGGTACCCTCATCTCTCTCTCTAGAAAATGTAGATATAATTGTTTTGTTTTGTACTCTGACGAGTGTAGCGTATGTGCAGAATAATGGGTTTTTGCCAAGTTTCAAGTGCTACTTTTGCTGTGAAATTTTCTTATTTTTGACAATTTTGACAATTTTGAGCTTTGTGTTTTTGGAATTAGCATTCGATTTTTGCTGGGATTTTGGTTTTTGTTTATGAATTTGGACCAAAGTTGTCAGATTTTGTTGGATCAGAAGGAAACTTGCAATGACCAAGATTAACATGAGAAAACTTATTGCTCTGCTTTGATCATGTATTTTAGTGAGGAATGTGACTTCTATAAGCTGATCACAACGTTAATTCGTACATTTCGCTACCACTAAGTTAGGCAGGATTGAACATGTGCTTTCTTTTTTGGGTAAAGGATTCAGCTTTTGTTAAGACGAAATCAAAAGAATGGAGATTGATTTAAGTCAATGTAATTCATTTGTAGACTTGATTAACTAATAGGACCACATACCGTGTTGTTTTGTTGCGTAATGGAGCAGTTACACATTGAATACCTTGAAGCTGGTGCAGATATCATAATCACAGCGTCCTATCAGGTAATGCCGGTTACTAATAATGGCTCTCTCAATTTATATTTTTTCGTGAAGCTGAAAGTGTTAGTTGCTATGCAGGCCACCATTCAAGGTTTCGAGGCCAAAGGATATTCAACAGAAGAGAGTGAAGCCTTGCTTCGGAAAAGTGTTGAAATTGCCCGTGAGGCACGTGATGTGTATTACGACAGATGTACTCAATGCTCTTCTGCTGACAGTGCGAATGGTAGAATTCTCAAGCGTAGGCCAATCTTAGTTGCAGCATCTGTGGGGAGCTATGGTGCTTATTTGGCTGATGGGTCTGAGTACAGGTGATTCATTTCTGCTAGTAAAAGTCATTGCATCAGCTGTTATTTCCATTGACTTTGGTTCCAAAAACTCGCGTGTAAATAGTTGCACGCCTTTAACTGAATTGTTGACACAATATGAATAGAATTTTCTCTTAGGGAAATGTACTCCTTTGATCCCAGTGTAAGCTTTGAAAAATGAAGTTAGATAGTCCCGCCTGCTGTTATTTGCATGAAAAGGGCATCATTGTCTGAACTTCAAGTGTTCACAAGGATTTATTTATATTCATATTTTTGGTCTGTTCCTTGGCAGTGGAGATTATGGTGAGGCTATGACGCTAGGAAGATTAAAAGATTTTCATCGGAGAAGGGTCCAGGTCCTAGCAGCATCGGGTCCTGACCTACTTGCATTTGAAACGGTTCCAAATAAGCTGGAGGCTCAGGTAATGATCGCAAGCTTGTTGATAGCGTTTAGTTTCCTCTTGTCCTTGTTGGTTAAGGAAATCTGGACAGGCCATAGTTTCGTTATTCTAGGTTTCGTACTAGACTAGCTTACAAATGATCAAACTGTTTAATTAGGTGACTACTGTTTTTGATTGGTCAGTACTCAAATTTGTGACCGAAAGTGGTGGATATAAAATTCAGAAAATGGGTTAATGCTCAAGAGACGTATAGTAACAGTTAATCATGCTTGGTGTTTATGCAGGCTTATGCTGAGCTTTTGGAAGAAGAAAATATGCAACTTCCTGCGTGGTTTTCTTTCAACTCTAAAGATGGCATCAATGTTGTTAGTGGTGATTCTCTCCTTGAATGCGCCTCAGTTGCTGAATCATGCAAGAAAGTCGTTGCAGTTGGAATCAACTGCACCCCCCCTAGATTTATCCATGGACTGTTAACATTAATTACACAGGTATGATCATTTAGGATATTTGTATTGCGTTTGAATAAGTTTATGGTCCTTATTTTTATTAAATCATTAAAAAGCTTTAACGGAGATATCTGAGAACTTTCTGTGATCAACTGTTGGGGCAGCAAATGACACGTCCTACTCATTTTTTATATGCCATATTTTCCATATATATTACGAATTTGTATGATTTCCTGAATAATTGCAACATGACCCTGTTTTTCGAGCTCCTGTAGTTAGTTTCATGTTCAATTCCTTCAGGTGGCTACAAAACCAATTATTGTGTACCCAAACAGTGGTGAAAGCTATGATGCAGATAGAATGATGTGGGTGGTAAGTTAAATTTCTATGGTTGTATCGTGTTTAAGATATAATTATCTGTCAAAATATTGTGGTTATCTGGAAGATGGAATTAGTGCAGGAAATCTACAGTCATGATATTCTTGTCGAGACACCAACTCTTCTGATACTTTCTTTTCTTTTTTCCGCATTGCAGCAAAACACTGGGGTTTCAGATGAAGATTTTGTCTCGTATGTAAACAAATGGTGTGAGGTAGGGGCTTCCCTTGTAGGAGGTGTTGCAGAACAACCCCAAATACAATCAGAGCAATATACAGGACTCTTCCCAATAGGTCAACATCTCCACCTGATCTGTAACCACATTGGCTTTGCGAAGAGAGCAGTCGAGCAAGACTACGAGAAGGCTTGCACTGAAAAAATCGCTTCCTGTTTGTAACCATCTGTCGAGCAAGACCTGATAGAAGCTGTCCACAGTTTTTTCGTGTCACTTGACACTTCGCATCGTTCTTCTGGCTTACTTATGAGGGATCTTTACATGCATGGATTATATCCAAGACCAAGAGTTTTCAGTTGTTTGAATGCAACTGTATGTGCTCAACCAGATCAGTTTATTTTTCGAACACTCTGACTCCTCTGTACATTATAAGCTAATTTTATTCCAGGCTCTTTCATTCGGATTTCGCAAGAACATGATCAGTTATGTAATTAAGATAAGTGGAAGAGATTGTCTTCAACAAACCCAGAAATTCTTCGTCGAAAGCGTCGTTTCATAATCCAGTGGAAGATTATTGACAAATTACAAATTACATGTGAAAGTTTTGACTATTTCTATGTATCAAAACCAGAGTAAACACCACTATCCCTCAGCAACCTCTTCTCTTCTTCGACGTAGTTCTTCCCCCTGCTTGCCTGCCCAAGCTCTCTCTTCCTCTTCTCCTTCTGCGAAAACGACAGGTTTCGCTTATCGCTCCGGGTCAGCGCAGTTTCCAGCTTCTCTCCCGAGGCCAATGCAGCTCTCGTCTTCTGTCGTTGTTCATAAGATTCTTCTTCTTCCTCGGTTTTCTTGGTTCCGGGCTTGCCGTCCTTACCGTCCTCCCTGCCGGTAGACCAAGTCCAGTTCGGCTCCTGCTCCGGCGCTTTCGGTGGCGGCACACCCAGCACAGACGGCCCACCCTTGTAGCCATGTTGCTTCAGTGCCTCAAAGTCCACAACTTTGCTCTTTGGCTTCCCAGATTTCACTGCAGAAATAACAGAGTATGCAGCCAGCTAAAACAAATTCAATACACAGATCACAAAACCCCAGCCAGTACTTATACAAATATGTATATATATATATATATATATATGTATGTGTGTGTATATGTATATGTACCTTGTGAAGCTGTTTTCTCGGAGGGTGGTGAATCTGATGACTTCCCAGATGAGGAATCCGAATCTCCTTCCTCGTCACTCCATGGAATTGCCCTCTTCATGCTGGGCAAGAATTTGGGTCTGGTTCCTACGAATTAGGGTTTCTAGGGGTATGGAAGGTTTGAAATTGATTTACCCCCAAATTTCAAAAGAGGGGTCTAGGTTTAGGATTCCGCAGGTACCTTTTGGTACATGGGATAGGAACAGAATGCACTCTATCTTACGTTTGGTGCGCTAAAGACAATGGGATGTGTTGTTCCACGTAACGAAATTTGATTAAATTTTCATTTCACCTCCCCTTAGAACGACTTATTCCACTCTTGTGGAACACAAAATAATTTTGTGTTTCTTTTTCTCCCAAAAAAAAAAAGCACAAAATTATAAAATTTTAAGAAAAAAATAGCCCTCATCTTTTTCAATATTTACACCATCCAAATCATAAAACAAACCCTAATCCATCTTCTTTGCCGGTGCATTTCTTTTCCCCGTAGCCTACCTCCTCATCCTCATCGTCTCCTGTAGCCGTCGACTGCACCCAGCTAGCAGGCATCAGCACGGAGCCACTTATGTCGCGCTGCAGATTGACCCAGGTCTTTTAATGCGATTGATAGCTTGTTGAATCTTAGTTTTCGACGTTAATCAATGGATAAAAGCTGCTTCTTGTGTGGTAGTGCAGCAAATAATAGATAGGAAAAAGTCTATACTACCAAATATTCCTCATGCTTTAGATGTATAGGATCTTTTTTTATTCAATTTTTTTGTGTGCATACCAAACATAACACAAAACCTTTGCTCTGTTCCATCTCGTTCTATTTTGTCAGTATCGTTTGGTATGCAGACGGGATGAGACGGAACGAAATCGGATTGGACGGGACTGGACAGGAAAGGGAGCAAAGATGCCCTCGGATGGAAATAAGGAGAAAGAAGAAGGAGACGGAGAGGTTATAATTTTGTGTTCCACGGATGTAGAACGAGTCGTTCCAGGGGATGAGGCGGAACGAAAATTCACCCAAAATTCGTCCCGTGGAACAGCATGTTCCACTCGTTTTAGGCACACCAAACGTGGGACGGAACGCCTCATCTCACTCCGTTCCGTCCCGTCCACGTACCAAACTGTACCGCAGAGAACAAGAAAATGGGATCGTTCGTAAATTTTGAAGGTTTGGGTCATTCCTACTTGGGTTATGGGCCTTCTCAAGCCCATTATTCATTTTCAAGCATTGTATGATTTTGACCACTAAACTTTGATGCTTGTTCCAATTTGGTCCTCATTTGCTTTTTCTGTGTCCCAAGTTGGTTCGTAAACTTTCAAAATATGTCAAATGTTGAAAACGATTAGTGGTAGGCATAGTTCAATTTAGTTGATTCATGTAGTGGAAACATAACTCTTAAGTTCAATCAATTTTAGTGATGATTAGGAAAGCAACTCTCAAATCAAATTGCCTATTCGATTTCATTGATTTTGAACGATTTTGAGTATAAAACATTTGTAACTCTGGACGCAAAATTTCATATATGAGTAAATGAATGACACTTAAAACTAGATGAATTACCGAAATCGCCTTAAAAAAAGTGATCATGTATAGTTCTATAAACTTTTACAAAAAGAGTACACTTTTATTTCTTAGATCAACTTGGGATGAAAAAAAGGTAGAAGGACCAAAATGAAAGATCTCTATGAATTATGGTGCAAACATGCAGTTAACCCAAGTTTAATAAAGCCATACGGCGTCGTCTCGGGCGGGAAAGTGGAGTGGAGGGTTCCCAAATTCGCGGAATTGCTGAGAGCTTCTTCATAGCCAGTGGCGGCGAATAAACTGAACCACAGAAAACCCAGCCTCAACCTTCACTCCCGCCGCCAGCCTCCGCCGTTTCTCTCTCTCTCTCTTCCTTCTCTTTGCTCTATTGGGTCGGTGACTCCTAAACGTCATCTGAAACTGAAGGAGCTTGCTTTTCTCTATCTCAAGGTTCGCTCGTTTCCTTTTGTTCCACAAGTTGATTTGCAAAGTGTTTAGGTTTATACGAGTAATTAAATGCTATCATATGTGCTTTTAATTGGGTTTTGTCTTCAACTGAGTAAATTGCAATGGATGCTTATAGCTGAGCTGCAATCAGTTGATTGTAATCTTTGTTTGGACTGCTGAGGATGTAGAGAGAGAGAGGGAGAGAGAGAGAGAGGGGGGGGGGGTATAACCTTTAATATTTTGGCAGAAGAATGTTGAAGACGAAGAATTCTGTGCAAGAGATTGTGTGTTTTGGTCTGAAGGCTCGAGTGGTTAAAAGTTTAGTCTCACACCTCAGTCTTTGTGTTGAATAATGTAAAAAGTCACACATCGGAATTTAGAATAAGTTCATAGAAAACTCCGGGATACATCGGACGGGGTAAAAATGGTATCTTTCTCATCCCCAAACCCATAGAGCTCAGCTTGTTCCAATTTTGTGGCGTTTAGAGAGGGAGTTTCAGATACCTAGGATAAAGGTTCCGGATCTGGGTTTTGGGTGTTGCAGCATTCAAAAGTGGTAACCTTTATAGTGTTCTTTTTTGTTGAGTCCTTATGGTTGCATGAAAATTTGGTCCATCCAATCTGAACCCATTATGTAAAGCTAGAAATTTTATTGGTTTGTAAAAACATTGAGATGGTTGGTTTGGTTTTGGGTAGTCATGCAGAAAGCAAAAAAGGTGTTTGTTTATGTTCTGTTTAGCTGAATCGTTTGCATGAATTTTTTGTTCAGGAAATCTGAACCCAGTTATTTTCCATGGAAACCAAGGCGGATGGTGGAGATAGCTCGCTTGTTCTGATCAAGCAAGGAGCCGAAGCTGTGAGTTTTCATATTCTAATATGTGTATTTTGAACTGGATAAGAAATTGGGGCTAAAAGTTTTCTATTCCTCTATTTCCAGAGGGTTTTTGAGTCAGACTTCGTGGGAAGGAGGTCAATTGTCAAGGAGCGTTTTTCAAAGAAGTATAGGCATCCGTCTTTGGATGCAAAGCTTACGCTCAAGCGCCTCAATGCGGTTTGTTTTTTTCTTTCTTGATGAGGTTTTGCTTTTGTGATGAAATTTGCTAGTAGCCTTTTTATTCCCATCTGGTTTTTCACTAAAATGGACATGTTGGAGCAGGAGGCCAGGTGCATGACGAAAGCAAGACGGCTCAGGGTCTGTACTCCAGTGCTTTACCATGTAGACACTGTGCTGCATACCCTAACATTTGAATACGTGGAGGGTCCTTCTGTCAAAGATGTATTTCTTAGATTCGGGTTAGGCGATGGAAGTGTTGCTGAAGAACGCATTGATGATATTGCAATGCAGATTGGTCAAGCAATTGCGAAACTACATGATGGTGGCCTCATTCATGGGGACTTGACCACATCTAACTTGTTAATCAGAGCTAGTACTAATCAGTTGGTGAGTGATTTACTTATGTTCACTTTGTTCTTCCAATTTTTGCTCAAGTGCTTTTACGGATTTGCATCAAATTCACAATTTTCTTCTCCAAGGTTGTCATTGATTTCGGTCTGAGCTTTACATCAACCCTTCCAGAAGACAAAGCTGTGGATTTGTATGTACTGGAAAGAGCTTTGCTCTCAATGCATTCTTCGTGTGGGAATGTGGTAAGCCAAGTTTGTTCTTTTTCCACTTAATCTTTGGTTTTTCAAAATCTGCATTATCTTTTCGTTAGTTCGTAACTTTTTTATTTTTCAAGAAAATGAAATAAGTGTAGTTCAGAAATGGCCGAACTGAACAGAGTTCTAACAGTTTGTCTTGGCCCGAGACATTCGTCTTAGAGCAGTTGTTAGAGTACAAGTTCTTGGCATGTATTTTACATGATTTCCATTTATCAGTTTCGGAAAAGACTCAGTTGTTTTCGAAACTGTATTCAAACTCTATGTTGAATAATCAAATTTATTCTCATGCTTTCATTCTTGTACAGATGGATCGGATACTTGCTGCGTATCGGAAGTCCTCAAAGCAGTGGTCATCCACATTAAACAAGTTAGCTCAAGGTGTGACCTCCCGTTTCTGCTCAGTCTGTTTCTCAAAATACGGCTTTAGAATTCCTTTATACTTTCTTTAATCCTCTTTCCTTTTAAGTTTTCTTATGTCTTCACAATTTTTACAGTGAGACAACGAGGCCGAAAGCGCACCATGGTTGGATGAGCGCTGCTTCAACTATCATTCACATCAGGATAAGCAAAAGGAGTATTTGCAGGGCGACACGCAACAGTACACTCGTTATCTTCGTGTAATGTTTAGCTGTAACTTGCAAGTTATGAACATGTATTCCGACTTTGAATTCAGTAGTAATTTATGTCTAGAGTGCATGTCCTTGACATCTAAATTATAGAAAGTTGTGTGTTCGAATTTTTTTCCCTGTTCGAATGTCCATATTTTGAATCGTACCTCGAATTTCATGTCATACATCAGTCCTATTGTAAAGGGCAACACTATTGCAAAAGTCAGCCGTCGGCAGTGGCGGCGGCGGATGTGATGTACAGCGATTTTGAAGGCACTTCTGCGACGGAGGAGGCGATTAAACTCAACTGCGACCAAGTTTCGGGTGGCTGACGTAACATTGCGATGGATGAGATTAATATAATGTCAGCGGTGGCCCGCGGAACTTATGTCGGCACTACAGTGCAATAAGTGCCTTGTCTAAAGAGTTCTGCGACGGAGCCTACGACCAATGACACCATCTACACCGGAAACTAGCGCTCTGCCTGTACCAATCCTACCACTGCCATCGCCACCACTTGTACAGGTAATGCCACTGCCGTCACCGCCACTTGTACCAATCTCTGCCACAGCCGTCACTGCCACCTGTACCAATCATTAGTCTGCCACCGCCATTGCCGTACCAATCATTATTCTGCCATCGCCACCACCGGCACCAGTCATACCACCACTCTCATTGCCATCAATCACCCAGATATCATGCCACCGTCGCCACCACCACTGCCAATCATGCAATTGCTGGCACCACCAGTGCAAATCACACCGCCGTCGCAACGAATCATGCCACCACAGCCAACTAAACCACCTGTGCCACCGGCGGAGGGACTTGACATCGCAGGGGCCCCAGGAGAGGCTGGCGAGGTAGATATGTAGTACTTCGAGCTCCTGGCAGTGCTAAATTGCTAATCTACATATAAACTACTAATACCATGATTCACTCTTAAGTCTTGACACTAAAATGGTTTGAGGGATCTCTTTGTTATCGAATTTCTAATGCAACAAGCAAATGATTTTGTTTTACACACTTTTGGTTTCGTACACATTTTTCTTTATTTTTTGACAACTAAATTGAACAAATTTAACAAAAATAATGATCATGATTAAACATGAGTAACGAGCATGTTTATCATTTTCTTGGTAAAATTACCAAGAAACAAAAGTTTTGGCAAGAAGTGCTTCACGTAGTGGTGGGCACTTGGAATTGAAAAACGGTTTGGTTTCGATTTTGGCTTTTGAAAACCGCATCACAAATATAGAAAGAACTTTTAATTGAATAACCATAGTAGATGTTATGTTTTAATTAGGTTTTTGTTACAATCCATACATTTAAATAGTTGTTTCCTGCTCAGTGCGGCTCTCGGTCTCATTTGGCATTGGGGACAAAACATTTTTCATAATATTGGGGACAAAACATTTTCATAATATTGGTTCTTGTGTATGCATGTAAATTATATTCAGATATGTATGCTTTTTGTCCTCAATTGCTCTGTTTGGGCTATTATTACTTTTCTTAGGGTGCGATGACAGGTTCTGGGTAAGATACTGAAGACTTCAATTTTGGTTTTTTTTTGGTGATGAATGTGAAATGGTAAAAGATATTGACTAGGGTACCTTAATTTGTAAAAAATGGTTTATTTTGGTTGAAAATATTTTGGTATAAAATGATAGAAGTGTATCAATTTGTTTCATTGTTATTTACTCAAATTCTATCTAATTTGGTTAGGCCTTTTCTAATATTTATGTGAGAGAGCGTAGAGAGAGAGAGGATGACAACGAGATTTTTTTTCATTCTGTATGTAAATGGTTTGAAAATCAAACCAAAACCATTTGAAACCGCACTGAATTGAACCAAATGGTTTGATTTCATTTCAGTTTTGACTTTAAAACCGCACTGAACCGAACCGTAAAAAATTACGATTTTGGTTTTCATTTCACTCAAAACCGTACCAAACCAAACCATACTTATCCAGCTAAAACGAAAAAAGTATGATTCTTTCTTTTCAAAATCTCACTCCCCTCCAATTCCCACATATTTGAACGGTCAAATTAAAGGCCCAAATCAAATTTATTCAGAGGACTAAACCCAATGTTGAAGCCCAACTCAATCATCCAAATGCTCGATACAACTCAGGCAACAAAGTTCTGCTAGCTTGCCCTAAAACGACAGTATATATTCAGATTTATAACCCTATAGAAGGGCTTTTAAGTTTCTGTTCCGCCTCTTTGGAAGCCATTCATTTTCCAGAAACCTTCTTCCTCGTCTGCAATTCCATTTCCTGACCAGAAATTAAAAGGAAAAACTTTCTCCATCTTATTATCTATGTCGACTTCATGTACTGATTCGTCAACCGAGTCAGATGATGAGGACGGGAGTGCAATGACTTGTCTCACAAAAATATGGGATTTGGTGGCATCGGTAATTAAATAGGTGAAGTTCACTTTTCAATCATAGATTTACATTTCTCTAATTTATTTTTACAGATTTGTTTGGTATTTAGATTGACTGTATGTTGTTACAACTTCTTGCAAGAGCAAATGTGGAATTGGGAACAAAATTTTAGTTTGTTCTAGAATATCAAGGTTAAGACGAATGGGGACATTGGATGGTATTTCTGTGTTTTACTAATATATATATATATATATATATATATATATATATATATATTATTTTTTATTTTCTTACATATAAACTACTTCTAGATTAACCAAGGCTCCATGACAACTGGGCTTATTGTCCTAAAAACAGATCTGATATTATTGTTTGTGGACAGAGCGCTAACATAATTTATGTTTTATTCTACATAATGACAGAAAACGAATAAAAAGCAGGACAACAAAAAAATCTGTATCTTCATTTTTTCATCTTTGTAAGTGTCAAACAGTTCTGTTTACAAAAATTTGTGTTTGTGTGATTTAATAAATATTTTGTAAATTTCATTAACTTTCATAAATAATGTTTAGTGTTTTGGTTTAGTTTAGGAAATAATGTTACTTATTGATTAAGATTCATAAATAAATGTATGTTGATGGTTCAGAATAGCATGGAGATAGAAAAAAAAACAAGAGTGATCAGGAGGATAATGACCAAATATTGAAGAGAGTCTAACAAGATAATGTGGAAAAAGTTGGAAAGATCTTCATATTGATCAAGCATTACTTCCACTCTAGCTTGGTAATTTGGGTCATTAAAGATGGCAAAAATGACACTATAATTCTAAACTACCAAGGATATATGGTAATATATACCAATACTTTGATCATGTTGTGCAAGTGGTAAGAACAAAACCATAACTCAATTATAAACTATATTCTTATGCAATCAAACTTCATAATACAATTTCATTTTTGTTTTTTATGTTATTTTTATTTATTTATGATTTGTTTTGGCAGAGATAAAATAGAAATAATTTACAAAGATTTCAAAGATGACAGCAACCTCACAATAGAAATTCAAAGATGTTTGACTTGTGCACAACAAAATGATGACTCGTAAGTACAAACAACAAATTAATCTCTATATTTTTTCAATCAAATTTATACATTCAAACACATAAAAACCTTGAAAATCATATATACAAACACAAGACACATTCTTGAAAAATATGGTATAACTTTACAGTTTGCAAAATAATGTCATAACCAGTTTCAGAAAGACACTGTCACTGCAAAAGGAACATCTGCAGTTCAACAAGATGTTCAAATGCAGACTCCAACATCAAGGATCCTGAAAAGTAAGGAAAAGAGACTGCCAAAAAGAAGACGAGAACAATGGTAAAAAATATTCGAAAGAGGGATGATTGTAAACCAAATGTCGATCCACAGTATGATTATATCCCAATCCAAAGAAAACAAAAGAAGGCAAATTACATATATGTTGTGAGTGACAGTGAAAGCCTTTCAATTGTTCCGTTAGAAAGCCAATCGTTGGAACCAATAATTGAGAAAGGAAAGGAGGAGCCAAAGGTTGAATCACCATTGAATCCAATTGCTAAAGAAATAGCAAACAAACTTGCAAAGAAGGCTACAAAGCAAAAGCTTAACAAACGGTATCATCTACCTACATCAACAAGGGTGTACAAGTTACTTGAAGATGAGACAAAAGAAAAATTCAAGGAATATTACATACAAGAGAAAATGTAAGTTTACATTATTAATCATAACTTAATACATGTATACACACACGTACACATATATATATACATAGATATATAATGCGTTTTATTATCTGATACAGAGATTACTTCTGGATGCAACCAAGGCAAGGATCCATGGCGACTGAGCTTGTTGTCCTAAAAACAGATATGACGTCATTGTTTGTGGATGGAGCAATCGACGCCAACATAATTGATGCTTCGTTATACACAATGGCAGAAAACAAATCAAAAATAGGGCAACAACAAAATCTGTATCTTCCTTCATTCATCTTTGTAAGTGCCAAACAGTTTTGTTTACAAAAAAGTGGTTTTCTAGTTCATTGTGATAAATAGTTCATTTTGATATATAGTTCAGTTTTTTAAGTACCAAACAGTTTTGTTTACAAAAAAGTGTGCCAAACAGTTTGCTTTGGTAAAAAAGTGTGGCTTTCTAGTTCATTGTGATAAATAGTTCATTTTGATATATAGTTCATTTTGATATATAGTTTAGTTTGCTTTGGTAACAAAGTGTGGTTTTCTAGTTCACTTTGCTAAATAGCTCACTTTGATATTAGTTCAATTTGCTTTGGTAATAAAGTATGGTTTTCTAGTTCACTTTGCTAAATAGTTCACTTTGATATTAGTTCAGTTTGCTTTGTATACTTGCCTCCTACAAAAGGCTTTGCATTCACTTTAAAACTTTAAATGTGTATTCTCGGTTCAGAATAATATGGAGATTGAAAAAAAAATGTGTATTCTTGGTTTAGTTTAAGAATTAGTGTTACTTATTAATTAAGATTAATAAATAAATGTGTATTCTTGGTACAGAATGATATGGAGATTGAAAAAAGCAAGAGTGATCAAAAGCACATTGACCAAACATTGAAGACAGTTTTACAAGATAATGTGGATAAAGTCGAAAATGTCTTCATACTAATCAAGCATTACTTCCACTTCGGCTTGGTAGTTTGGGACATTAAAAATGGAAAAATGACACACTACAATTTCAAACTACCGAGGGTACATGGGCATACAGACCAATACTTTGATCATGCTGTGTAAGTGGTAAGAACAAAACTATAACTCAATTACAAACTATATTCTTATGCTGATAGGAAAAATCAAACTTCATAATACAATTTCTTTTTTTCTTTTTTATGTTATTTTTATTTGTTTTAGCAGAGAGACAAAATAGAAGCATTTTACAAAGATTTCAAAGGAGACAACAACCTCACAATAGATATTCAAAGATGCTTAACTTGCGCACAACAAAAGGATGACTCGTAAGTACACACAACAAGTTGATCTTTATACTTTTCAATCAAATTTATACATTCAAACATATAAGAAGGACCATGAAAATCATATATACAAACACAAGACTCGTACTTGAAAAAAAGTTTGCAGTTTGCAAAATAATGTCATAAGAAGTTTCAGAAATAGTTGATTTTTCACTCTTTACATTTTACGAAACAGTATTACAAATTAACAAATAGTTCATTTCTTCAGTAATTATATGTCATCTAACTACAAATATATGGAATGAGACACAGAAAACAAAGTCATTCTAGGAAAATATACTATAAATTTAGACTTTAAAAAATAGTGTCATAATATAGTTTCAGAAATAGTTCTGTTTGCATAACAGTGTTACGAACAAGAAATAGTTCCATTTTTTTCAATACTTATATGTTGTCTAATTAAATTATATGCAAAATAAAACACAAAAAATAAAAATAAAAAATCATTATGGTAAAAAAATAGGGAACTTTAACGAAAAGCTCCTGGTATTGTTCACTTTAACGAAAAAACACATTTTTACACTAAAAAAACACATTTTTACACTAAAAAGTCAATCCTGATACTATTCACTTTACCCTTATTTTCTAATTTTCGTTAAAACTCAAAGTTTTCAAGCCATTTTCATTAGTTTTAGAAATACTTTCATTTTTCACTTTTAATATGTCATTGAATGTTATAATATGATCTCATTATCTGTCATACCTATTTGTTTTTCCATAAAAAAAAATGCAGATTGGATTGTGGCATATTTGTCATTCAATTTGCAAACCAAGTGCAAGAGGGCAAACCAATAGAAGCCACATTTGAGAAGGAAGAAGTATTTGCCAAAAGAGCTCAAATTGTAACTACACTTGTGAATCATGAGAATAGTTATGCAAATGGACTGAAGAAGATACTTGAAGACAGAAGACGACAAAATAAACATCGTCAATATGATGACATTCCTGATGAGGATTTTACTACATTAGCATGAGTTTTACAAATTACATTTTATATCAATGTACATCTACATATAAAACCCTGAGCTCAGGTGGGCTTGTATGCTGGTCCCTATCTCATACTTGCGTATTTTTATAATTTTTTTGCTCTAGGGGGCCTAACACCATTACTCATCTAAAGAAACCATGTAAAAATGAAAAAAAAGTAAAGTTTAGTATGAAGCCAATCAACTTCACATACCTGATTCTTTGAGTTATAACTTATAAGAATGAGAACTATATTAAAAAATTTCACATGCTTACATTTTAAGGAAAACTAATGAAAATGACTTGAAAACTTTGAGTTTTAATGATAAGGACAAAATAAAGGGTAAAGTGAATAGTACCAGGATTGACCTTTTAGTGTAAAAATGTGGTTTTTCGTTAAAGTGAACAGTACCAGGAGCTTTTCGTTAAAGTTCCTTACATTTTAACAGTTCCTTTTTGTTAAAGTTCCTTTTTATTATCCAAAGAATATAGTTACCAAATTAGATAAATTTATGCAAAACAAAAAACTAGATAACTTCTAGATAACTTAAATTGTTTTTGAAATACATGTACACACTATATCTAAAAAAATGAAAAATAACAGTTTTTTTTTTTTTCAGTTCCAAATCAGCACCCAAATTTCCCATCCTTCACGCATAATTAACGCCCAGCAAAAATCATCATTTCACTCTCGCACTAACTTCACTTTCTCTCCCTAACACCAACTTCCATTTTCACGCACAGATAAGCCATTCACGATGAAGAAACTGCATGCACTATAAAAAAAACCAGAAACCCAGCCCCCAGCTCAAATCATCCATCCTCATTTCCTGATTTCGTATATCATTCCAGTTCTTTTACGGATGAATTCACACAAATTTCAACTTCATTGAGCAACTTGGTCGCAAAAATACCCAGAAAATAAACAAAAGGTAACAATCTTACAATTTTTCTCAACATTTCACAAAATCATACGGTTCATTGTTTATATAACTAACATCTACTAGAATCAAGCATATAGAATAACATGCATCAACTTAAACAAAACCCAGATTATACTATTTGCTTAAATTTATTTTGTTATTTACTCTCAGTACGAATCCATCACAGATTCACCAAAAAAAAGACTATTTACTAGCTAATCGTTCAATATATAAACATACATTATGCTATTACACGAACTAGTGTGATTCTCTATTTGTAATTTTTACATTTGAGTAAAATAGTTCACGATTTTTAAGTTTAATAAACACTGTTTACGAAATAGTTTACAATTAGTTTCATTTGTAAATAGAATTAAAATGTACGGAAATAGTAAAATCTGGGATGCATTCATGAACAAGTATAAACATATGTTACGTTATTACACGAACTAGTGTGATTGTCTGTTAATAATTTGTACATTCAGTAAATAGTTTGTGTTTTTTAAAGTTTAAAAAATAGTGTTTACGAAATAGTTTACAATTGATTCATTTATAAATAGAATTGCAATTTTTTCAGATCTTACACATAATACACCTCCTATTGTACATTTTTATTTCTAATTTATTTAGTTATATGAATCTTATAAAGATTTATGCAGTTATAAAAATGTTTTCTATTTCTATAAATAGTAATTCACCTTGGTATGTTTTAGATATAATTGTGTACTCATACTGATTTTTATTTATTTACAATCAAGTTGCATTCTAATAAAAACTATATTGACAGATGGTTTCAGTTAGAATAACTGTACAAATGTCAAACTCAACCAAAGCCAATGTCAAAATGATATCCAAAACAACAAAGAGGATAGAACAAAGGAAAATGCTTGGAGAAATACAAAACATATCACGTACGAAGAATGAGACAATTCATCTACAGATTGACACCACTACTGAAGAAGAAGTTGGAGAACCAATGCAAAGTGCAAAGAAAAAGGTACAAAAAAAAAAAAAAACAACCACTACAAAGGAAAAGGAAGATGGAGACACAACCTAAAGAACAGAACAGAACAATTGTGAATCAAAGATGCAGAAGAAAAGATGCCAAACACTCCAACCACCAACAACAATCAAGAGAAAGAAAAAGGAGAATGACAAACCAGTTTCAAAGAGAAAGAAAAAGGAAAATGCCAAACCAGTTTCAGAATCAAACAAGGAACAAATTGAAGAAGGAATAGTGCAAAAAGAGGCAATACAATAAACAAATGAGCATAGTGACAAAATTGACACATTACCGGAAAAAAATGTTTCACCAATGGCAAAAGAAAGAGAACAAGAAACAGTTATTGAAGCTCTAAAAAGCAACAATGCTCTCAACAAGAATGATCTACATGTCAAAAAGCAAACATTCAGCCAAAAAGCAACAAAGCCAACGATAAAAAACAGAAAGAAAGTCTTGGGTGAAATTCCATCATTCAACCTGGATTTAAAAGATGAGCCTTCTTCACAACCGGATGATTTTCCAGCAACAAATCACATAGACAACAGTATGAATTGGACACAACTTCAAGTGTACAAGATGCTGAAACCAGATGATAGAAGAAGAATAACTCAATTCTGGTCAACAGACAACATTTAAGTAATACAAAACAAAACTCTTAACTGAGGTTTTTTTACACACTCCCATAACTTTATAAGTACCGACGAATTATTGTATAACTAATACTTTTGCACTGTCCTGTAGCGATGAATACTAGACGGCAGAAACTACAGATTTCAACTATTATAGAATAATGGTGTTGAAAGAAGACTTGCACAATTTGATGGCAAATGGACCTACATCAACTCAGATTGTTGATTCTTTCTACTACCTGAAAAGAGAAAAAGAGAACATCACGAAACAAATGAACTTCTATATCTCCACAACAATCTTTGTGAGCAAACAAAACAACTAATATTCTGCAAAAAAAATATTTACATATACATATAAAAATTAGAACAATTAATATGTAATTATGATTTTAGATGATTTTCATTTTCAACAGCACAACATCAATGAACAAATCATTGAAACAACTCTGCGAAACAAGAAAAGGTTATACAACCAATTGATGGACCAATATGGAAAAGTATCAAAGATTTTCTTCCCATTGTTTCATTACAACCATTTCTCCTTGGTAGTTTTGGACACAAAAAATGTAGAAATGATTCACTACAATTCTCTTCGACAAAGCACAACAGATGAAGATCTGGACTTTGATTGCTACTGGGAAAATGCAGCAATAATGGTAAACAAAAACGCACAACCAAAAACTCTGTCATATTTATAAAAAACAAGCATCTTATTATTACATTATAAATTTTTGCAAAGCCACTTTATTCAATATTAGCTCGATAAAGCAAGAAAATCAACAAGCAATTCAAATATTATGGATTCAACTCAAGCCACAATGAAGAAAATCAATTCCATCAAAAGTAATTTTGAATTCAAAGTCAAAGAAGACAGAACCTGTGCACAACAGAAACCAACATCGTACGTTATAAAATTAAAAACATTTTAGTTATATATATGTATAGTATGTGCTTATTGCAGTTTCAGAAACAATATGAATAATTTGATACAATTATAGAAATAGTTTGTACCACACACTTCATTTCATTTTAATATTCGTAATCATTCCATGAATTTCTTTGTAAATCAGATTATATTGCGGCTTATACATGATGAGTTTCATTGACCAACTATCAACTAACCGGAAGGTTCTAGGACGTATCAAAGATTATTAAGTAATGAAAGCAAGGAAAGATATCCTCGTGGATTTGATGAACCATGATTTCAGCTAGACAAAGGAACAAGAAGCATATATCAAAATCTCACAACAACTCACAAGAATTGAACATTAGAATAAAAAATAAAAAATACGCATTATATGTAATTCTGATGCGGATGTACTTTTTAAAGTTCAAGATGAAAATCTGAAAGATGGTGGAAAGTATTGGTCTAAATTGAAGCAATACTTACATGTTCAAGCTTACTTTTGATATGATTTACAAATGTCATTGTCAAACATGTTTCACACAACTATATATATATATATATATATATTCAATACTTACATGTTCAAGCTTAATTTTGATATGATTTACAAATGTCATTGTCAAACATGTTTCACACAACTATATATATATATATATATGTTTCATGACTTAATCTAAATTTTAATCTATTTTGATAAATAGTTCAGTTTGCTTTGTTAAAAAAATGTGGTTTTCTAGTTCAGTTTGATAAATAGTTCAGTTTGCTTTGGTAAAAAAGTGGTTTTCTAGTTCACTGTCATAAATAATTCATTTTGATATATAGTTCAGTTTGCTTTGGTAACAAATTGTGGTTTTCTAGTTTGATAAGTAGCGTAGTTTTTTTTTTTCATTTTCTCTTACCTAAAATGAAATATTAACTACATCAAGAATGAAAACCAACATACTTGCCTCCTACAAAAGGCCTTGTATTCACTTTAAAACTTTAAATGCAACACACAAACTTACATACAACCTACAAAATAGATATTGAAACCACAAAGCCATAAACTTAGATATGTATTCACTGTTTATCAAACTCAACATACTGTTTTGTAAAACTGGAAATACTAAAACATTGAATTCATATTTATTACTCAAATATAATTACAAATCAACAATTACATACTCCCAAACACCAATTGAAACAAAATAATAAAAAAAATATCCAAAATGAAAATCTGTTACATATCACCAAAAACTCACATCTCTCAAAACAAAAAAGAAAAAAAAATCAACCCTCTTGTATAACAACTTTACATGAAACCTTGTTATGTCCTGAACAACCACACCTACTACAAGTGATAGTCTTCTTACTCCCACTAATTTCCCTAGCAGATTTGATCCTAGTTTTCTTTGGTCTTCCAGACAGAATCTTTGTAATTGGAGGTCTCACACCATTTATGATAGTATCAACATTCGGCTTTTCCAAATCTGAAAATGGATGCATGACAAATTGATATGTTTTCCGATAAAAGTTTGCTTTCTAGTAATCATCAACGTAATAAAAAACATCACGATTATCATGTTGCAACACCTGCAAAGCATGAGAACATGGGAAACAATTATTATGTCATTGCACACAAGAACATGTCCTATCATCAAGACAAACAACAAACCGATTCCACTCCGTCCTAATTTCAAAAACATCCGCATCAGAACGACTAATCCTCCAATGCATGCCCTCCTTCAACATCA